TAATAGAAAAAGGGCTGAAGGATCAGGCTGGAATAACACACAGAACCCCAGACCCAGACGCCGTGAGTGTCGCCCACATGGCGGAGTTAAACTCTGCTGGTGGATGCTGCATTTTTCCAGCTATTTAATACCTGGTGTTTCCTTACTGCAGGGTCAAACTGAAGTGACTTTTGCCATATACTTTTATCTCATTTTCTGGTCTCCATCTCCATGTGGACTGGTAAGGTTCGTGAGAGCACCCGTGTGATTTCTCTCAGGAAATAAGCATTTGAACCAGAAAAGAAAGGTCTATCCCTGTCTTAAAAGAAATAAATCTTTGGTACCGCAGAGAAAACATAGTCAGACCGTGGGACAGGAAAGCTGTGTGTGCTGGAACTCAGCAGCACCCTGGCTGGCTGGAGGAGGCGTTGTGGGACCAAAGGGAATCCTATCTGCATGGATTCAGCTGGAAACACCGACTTTTTCTTACATAGTGAGGAGATCTGTAAATCTTTATTATAAAACTTGGTCATATCTGTTTTGTAAATAGATTGTGTCACGAATATTGACAACAGCTGAACTCCTTTTGTGTGAGCCCAATGCCTCTCAGTACACAGCAGAGGAAGAATTGCTTCTTGCCAGCTCCTGAGTGAAAACAGTTAAGTCCACAAAAAAAATATAAATATTCCTGTATGGAACTGGCCTTGTGCTCTGGGAGCCCCTCTTAGAAATTAGATTTTTTTTTAATGGTCAGTTGAAGAGTTTAAGAGATGATAGAGCAAAGGTGGGGTTTTTAACTGTGGGAATGAAAATATGAAGGATGTTTTAAAATACTCTTGTCTTAAATTTGCTTTTCCCAGTAAGCAAGCAGTACTGGAATAAGCAATGTCCTTCTCTTAGTAATGAAGGAAACCATCACTGAGCTCAACTGTCCTGCTGTGTGTGGGGCCTGGGAAGAAAGGGAACAGGGAAGTATCACCACATGAGCTGTGCTTGAGGGAGCGTGTCAACTCCTCCTGGCTGCATGTCATCATCCTCCTTGGGCCCTTTGACCAGGAGAACTAAAAATATTGCTTGTGGAGCTGGGGTTCTGAATCCTTGTCCCTCTGAATCTTGTCTCATGTGATGTGAAGCCTGGGTAGGTTTTTATGATCTGCAATCTGTGTGTAATGGTTTTACTAATGTACGGTTCAAATCTGTGTCTCAGTGGAAATTAAATCATCAGTTTGGTTATCTCTGATGATTTTTTTAGCATGACATTTCTTCTTGCTTTGATAATCAGAAAAAAAATAAGAAGCTCTGAGCAGCGTGCTGACATCTCACCAGTCTTTCATCGTACATTTAATCCCACACAGCGTGCAAGAGTGAGGGAGAACAGGTCAAGCTGTTATAAGAGTAGAAATGAACTCAGATTTTCCATTTTGTGAGAAATTCTGTAATTGTCATGATGCTTTTCCTTGTGAATATTTCTGTGCAATGAAATTCCAAATAATACTTTTATTTTCTTTAAGAGGTTGGGGTTTTTTTTCCAAGTCAGTGGTTAATTTTTCCTTTTAAAGATCATGAAATTATTTTATGGCATTATTGAAACTTTCATTTGAGACTTGGTTCTTTATCTTTATGAAATGTATCATGCTCAGGTTTGTAATTGAAGGTGTGAATCTAGGAAAGCACTTGACTGTGCACTTAACTTCACCTCTGTGCTTATGTCCTGTTGGAATTAATGGGATTTAGGCATGTGCTTCTCCAGATCAGGACCATCAGTAATTAAATAATAGAAAAGTAGTTATTGAGTTGGGAAATTAGAGGGTGATCAAAAATTGATTTGAGCAATGATTTATGGAAATCATTAAAATGTGAAGAAGGCATTTTTGCCTTATGGATATTATGTGCCTGAAGCACCAGTAATGTTTAGCTTCGCTATAAAACACAGTTGACAACAAGAGACCAACTTAACAGTCACTTACTTGTTTCTCCTATTTTATTAACTCTCTAAATTAAAAAAAAAACTCTCTTGCAAAACCCTTCTGGCACTTTAGAATTTGCAGGAAATGGGAGCAAGATGTACAATTTTATATTGATTTAGTGAAACATTGTAGTATTTTTGATATTGAATGAGGTCACTGTTTCTGCTGCTTTGGCTGTGCGACCCTGGAAGTCCAGCTGAGAGAATTTAGACTTTACTTTCTTGTGATTTGTTCTGGAGATATGAGGGGGAAGCACTGAATATTGTCCAGTTCCTTCCTAGATTGCTGCAATGATTCCTTCCTGTAAAGTTAATTGCACCCCTTCTCAATATAGCTGTCTTATTTTGCTTAAAACCTTGTCACTCAGGCTCCAAATTTGCAAAAACTTTGCTTAGTAGAACTTTTAGAACAACCTAAAGCATAGATGCTTTTTAAATTTAGTTATGGCAGACTTAAAACTGTGGGATATTAGGAAATATTCACATTCAGGGCGTTGGAATAACTTTCTGCTGGGTGCAAACTTGTATTATTGCTCCTGAAACGGTGTTCACATGGTGTGCACAGTCATTCTGAATGTGACTGGAGACTGGGCAGCCCTGTTCCCCCAAGTGTCCTGCCATCCTTTTGCACAAAGAACCTGAAATCCAGGGCTGTGATTGCAGGCGTTGGGCTGACTTACCAAGGACTGGTGACAGCGGTTCTGGCCCTGGGGGCACATGTACCACCCCTCTCAGGGAGGTTTGCTGCAGGGATAGCTGGGCTGGTTGCTTAGCAGCTGCTGAACTGCTGCAGTTTGAAGGTACGAGAGCCGTGGGGCTGGGTTACCTTTCTGCACCACGCTGGGACTGTGCCGGCTCACTGCTTGCTCCATCCCTGGTCGTGCAGCGGAGGGAGAACCTCCCAGAGAGATGGTGGGGCGAGAAATACCAGCGCTGCCGTGAGGTAAGCTGTCCCTGCTCGTTAATCAGCTTCCTTGCTGGCTATATTAGCAGCCTCCTCACTGCGATCGGGTAGGATGGGTTTCATCAGGAAGAAGGAGAACGCTGTCTGTGTTGTCTGTCCCTGCACACCCAGTCACACTGCTGACCCCAGCTACTCCTGTCTTGGGAATTTAACTCTTACTGTCTCAATTCATGAGAGAGAGGGGCTGCAGGTCTGACATCAAACATTCATATATCATGGAGTTAATGAGAGAATTATGATCGTTTGACAGATAGGTTTGTTCTTTGCATGGGCAGCGTTCAGTGTTGTATGGAAAAGCAAATAAAGCGTTGCAGTGATTTCTCGGTCTGTTGTTTCTTACGTTGGTGACTAAACCTTCCTCAGCTGAAGGTCATACTGGCAACTTATCAAGAGAGAAAGAACCCATTTAATTGCAAAAGATGGAGAAATTGGAAAGGCTGTCATCTTTTAGAAGATAATTAGACTTCACTCCTGGTTTTGTTTTTCTCCTTTAGACGAAAAGTAAAATGAGAGAACTTATGGATATTACAAATCATTTGTGTCCTGTGTAGGTACTACAGCTTGAGATACCTACGGGTGATTTCTTGTGATACGAGGGCAGAGTTTATGGGCACTGTACATAAATTTGACAGAAAGTAGCTGGTACACTCAGTTATAGGTTTGACATTTACAGTTGCCTTGGAAGCTTTGGCTATTAATAGATGTGATGCTTATACCTTTCCTGATAAACAAGTGAATATAGGGGAATTGTGGCTGGGAAGTCAGAGTAGGCCGCGCTGTTTGGTAGCCCAGGTGAAGAGGGCACTGGGTCCAGCACTCCCCAGGTGTAGTACCAGGGATCCGGGATCACGCCGTGCAGCTCCTTTCCCACTGAAAACTGGAGCGGTGCCGCGTCCCCTCTTACACCCACCACGCATTCCCCTGCTGTCTGTGCTGGTTGCCGGGCATCCCTTTGTCAGTTTTAATCCTTGGCCTTGCCTTTGAGAGGCTCTGTAACCTGGAGCAATCCAATCCCTTCCTCTGTCCTCTCCTTCGAGTCCTTACAGTGCAGGAGCACCTGGGCTTGTCCAGCGTGGCTAACATCTGTTGCATGCTTTGTTGTTGTTCTCATCCTTTCTCTGAGGAGATAACAGCATGTGGAGTGTGAAGCACAGCGTGTCATGCTGATAGAGATATTTTTTTTTGTCTTTTTAAATATGGCCATGGTGATGATTTTAGGAAAGAAAGACTGAAGAAGCACTTTGCACTTGAAATGGAAGGTGGGGAAGCTTTGTGGAGGTACATGGTCAGTGTCCACATCTATAAAACAGGAACAGTCTCATTTTATGGGCTACGTGAGAGTGCTGAGAGGATTAACGAGTGTTCATGAAGTGCTTTGACCTGTGAACTGCTGCATTATTACAGCATTTTTTATTGATGATAATATCCTGGGAAGCATTTTGAAGTAGCCATTAGATATTACAAGCTCTACAAAGCAAATTAGGCTGTGCTGCCATGGTCCCTTCCTTGTCCCCTGCAGGGGGGTGTATGTTGTCAATATTTTAACTGAGGAAATGATATGCATTCAGGAGTAAATCAGCTACTGTTATTCGTCATAGATTGGCTTTTTTTTTTTTAATTCAGCTGAAGATTTGCCTGGGGCATCTGACAGCAATTTTGGAAGCTTCAATTCTGCCTTCAGATCCCTGACTGTACATTCCTCTATCTATGTGGAATCTAATTTCACGCTATTTATACAACTGCTTTGTAATCTACATTTGTGCAAAGGCACCTCCTGTATGAAAACGCTACAAAATCTTTGTAAAACAGGTGGATGTTAAAAGCTTTGGATAGGTCTCGAAATGCCAGGCCACATCCAAAGCCCCAGTTAAATAATTAAAACAGGAACACTAGCAGCTGCTTTGAGCATGAATGGCTGGCTGGAAATTCAAACATGAAAATACTACTGAGCCACTTTTGTCACTTTCAAATGCTTTGAGAAAAAAGATGGACGGATCTGTCTGCTCCTTCTGCAGGAATTTAAATTTTCTTCATCCAACTTGAGTTGGTGAGGAGCTTATAAAAGTGTGATTCTCTGTTCTGTTTCTGCAGGGGAGGAGCTGGATCGTGAAGCGGAGTTATGAAGATTTCCGAGTACTTGATAAACATCTTCACCTGTGTATTTATGACCGGCGCTTCTCCCAGCTCTCCGAGCTGCCCCGCTCCGATGCCCTGAAGGACAGTCCAGAGGTAAATTATCAGCTCTGGAAACATTTAAAGCACAGTCAGCAGCAAGGGGTTGGAAGATATTTCCATGTATGTACAAAATAGTTTTGTTGCAGACTGGGTTAGATTTGGAAACTTGATTAATAGTAACAAGATCATTATGTGTTTCCTACCATTAATTTCAGTGATCTAAAGAGAAATGCCCTGCAAGTTTATATGAGTTAATGTGCTGATAAATGTGGAATGGTTATGGACAGTGTTAGGAAAGAAGCTGTCCTGTTACTACCTTAGACAGGAATTTTGTTATGTCTTTGAAAACTTTTTCAATAACGTGAATATTTCCTAACCTCATATTAGCAACTCAGCATTCCTAGGAAATCATGCTGTTCTAGGGCTGCAGCACTGCATGTGTAATTCCATTTGGAATGCTACACTTATATTTATAAACTGAAAATTACTGAAGAATTTTTAAGAGCATTTGCATTAGTGCATTATTTAAATTGTCTTTAAAAAGCTTAAAGAACTTTTTTTTTTCCTAAATGAATAAGAAGTATTTTTCATTTCTTGACTTTGTTTTCACCTGGAATATGGGGAACTGGAATTCCTTTGGCTTCTTGGCTGTTGATAATTTGGAGATTCATTCATGTTCCAAAATAGTCTTCTGGAAAGTAGCAGGTGCATCTTGACTGCATCACACCAGAAGATGTGGCGAGGAAGGCAACGAAATGTGTGGCCACAGAGGTTATTTAAGCCAGTAGAGCATGACAAAACTGTTGGGCCTCAGTCTGTCTGCGGGAATGGTGATGGACAGTGCCCACTGCTTCATTTCACAGGTCACTTATCTCTGGGACCTCTAGTTGTGTGTTTGCCCCCTACCATCAAGCACAAGGACGGAAAAAATCTTGACATGCTGTGTCAGGAAGCTCATGTTGCCTGCCCACAAGATGTGTAGCTGAAAAGGGAGATGAGGAATTGAGGCCATTCAAAGCAGAATCCATCCAGGATCTCTAAGTCAGAACCTGGTTTTTCAGTGCTGAGTAGTGAGGACTGATTGCTTTAGAACAACACACAATGGCTCAAATCAGTACCCTGCTGAAGTCTCAGAGCTTTTGCCATTGAATATAGGAAGCTGATAATGCAGCCCCATTGCTCAGCAGAGAATCTGATTTATTCGTTGCTTTGGCTATTTCTGAAGAGAATATAAAGTTTCTAGTCTCTTAAATTCAGCACAAGCAGCAATATCCTGGATAATTAATTCCTGGGTTTATTTTTTTAAATTACATTTCAGGTGTTGCTATCTCTTAAATCTTTATTTGTACAACTGATTTAATATGTACTTGATAGCATGAGCCTGAAAATCTGCGTTATATCTGTAAGCACAGAAGATGTAGAGATGTAG